TCATGGATTACGGTGGTTGGGGCATGTGTTACGCATGTCACCAAATAGGTTGCCACGGCGTGCGATGTTTGCCGAGGCAGGTAATGGGTAAAACAAAGGTAAGGGTGGTCAAGCTAAGACCTGGCACGAGGGTATAAAAACCCTAACCAGGAATCTGTGTCACATAAATCCTGTTAGGCTCCCTGACTGGAGACCTCGAGATGATTGTACCCGATGGTTAGAGACACTGATTGATATAGCTGCCCTAAACAGTGGCGTTCGTACATCTGAATTTGTTTGCAACCATAGGTTCCTGGATTTCTCCTTTTTCTCTTCGTCTCTCCTTTAAATCTTCCTGTCTTTCTCCTACTATTCATGCAAATGGGCAGGTAAAAGACAGCAACCAAAACCAGCGCACGAAAGTGCACGGTAAATAGTTGTACAAACTGAAACTGAAAAATTCGACAGATGTAAATGCAACCCCGTTTCAACCTACAACTAGCAATTAAGTGGATAGGGCATGTAATCTGAATAATGTGGAACGAGCGATTTTCTCGTTTCCTTGTTTGTGTCTACTCTTCGTCAGCCACCCGATCTCTCTCGGTCATTAACAAGATATGGTAAATAGTAGGGGAGATATTTTTCACTCTAGACTAAAGGTGATTCGGCGCAATCCACATGCGTTGATCTCCATTTTACTTTTGTCTAATCGGTATTCCCACACCAATAAGTGCCAATAAGTGTCGCAAACAGTGGTGCTCATGCATCTACTCAATATTCTTGCAACCATAGTCTATATGAATTCTACACCTTCGCTTCGACTCAGCATTCCAATCTTCATTCTAATCTTCTATCCAAATGGGTGGCCAGAAGACAACAACAACAACCAAAACCGGCGCGAAATTGCACGGTTAATGGTTGTAAAAACTGAAATTTAATCTGAAACACTTCTGTACCTCGACTTTTCTTTGAAATCCCTCTGGTTCACCGTTAAAGCAAAGTGTAAATCTACATAAAAAAGGAAGTTTCGTAGTTTACAGATCCGATGGTGCGTAAACTGATGGGCTGGGAAGTAATGTACAACTGTTTCGACCTGGTTGGGTCTGATCAGCAGTGCGAATCCATGGACCACTGAGGAGCGAACCCGGGTTCTCAAGCTTTGAACGCAAGTATACTACCCACGTGACCACCATACAGCTGATCAGACAATTCCTCGTTTTGTCTGTAAACGATATAGCACAACCAATCTATGCGAGCTTTTTACTAGTTTCAGCCATAGCTCATCTCGGCACTATCCTCCAGGGTTATGAATCGGTTGGAAACTTTCACAACCTAGTTATTTGTTGTATGAGAGTAATGGTGGATTCGATTTGTTCATATGATGAATTCGTCGAGTGAATGTGTGAGCTGCAGAGCTGGGAAGCACTGAACAGCTGTTTCGACCTGGTTGGGTCTCATCAGTAGTGGGAATCCATTGACGTTGTCCGGTCGTTGAGTGAGTACTGGGCTTGAGTTCCACCTATGAAGGTTCCTCAGTTAAGTCGATGGATTCGCATCACCTTTCAGGTCGAAGCAACTGTAAAGTGCTTCCCGGCTTGAATGAATGTAAGAATTTTAGAAGATTATAGCTTTCATAAACATATCTAAATCAGAGCTTTCCGTGTTTTTTTTTAGCTCAGCTAATAGACCCGACCACCCAGAGATGTAGTCAAGGTCCGTGCTTGCATACAACTCCCTCTGAGACGGTTAATTTTAAATTTCAAAGATGACACAAATAATGCTACTCAATTATTTGCCTAAAAATAATTTGAATAAAATCGTCAAGATCGATTTCCGTTCTTATACATTGCCACTCATTGGTCCGGCCAGTTTGATATTTAGACCCGCATCATTTTCCATTTTCTGAAGTCCTTTGGGAGAACTTGCTTTTATTTATTCCTTTATTATTTCGAGGTTACTTGCGCATTTGGTAAACTCAATTTTACTATCCTTAGATATACCCAGATGATGTTCTTATTAAGTTTGTTAATTATGTCACTATAGGTTCCAAATTCCCAGGTGATTTCCGCTTCTCACAGCTTCAAACCAGTTTATCTGTCTTATTCCAAATTATCTATCAATGCCTTTAACTGTAGGGATGTCACCTTTTGAAAGGAATTGTTCTGTAGTTTATGATTTTCCCCCAATACGTTCTCTGCAATTTCTTGGTGTTACCGTCTGCCAAGATCTCACTTTTAAAAGATTCAACGATTGTGTTTCTTTATTTTCCGCTTCCGATCTTTGAAAGTTCCATTGTATCTACTCACCCGATTTGTATACTCTTGTGTTGTTAGTCATCTTTACTGCCCCTTAGTTTTATTTACCGGTTTTAGAGTTGAAAATTACACAGTTACGCGCCAGTCTATCAAAATTATTCGTTCACAAGCGATATTCCTTATTCAGACTTGCTTAACTTTATTACCGATAAACATTTTACCTCTTGTGAAAATATCTGCAACAATATTCCATCAGACATCACTCACTCATTACACACAGGACTTAAACAATGCGTATCCACTTCTGTAACTAGATATCGTCTAAAGCTTGTGTATGCTCGTACGACTGCCTACCGTTTGTTCGTTATCCCCTATCTTTCGAGATTTTTGGCACAAAAGGCATCTGTTGCAAAAGATCTTCTGTATTTCTTAGTTAAATGATATCCATTTTCAAACTTTTACGCCACATTTCTCTTAAACTCAAAATGTATTTTATTTTTTCTTTGTGACTGTATGCGATGATAAGTGATCCTGGTGTGCAAGGAGCTGAGAATCCTTCCATTAGAATGAATAAAGCGATTTTTGACTTGTAAAAAGTCTCCAATTGTTTTTTCCTCACCGTTCTGTGAAAGGAGAATGAAGTAGACCACACTAATCTGATGGTTTATCGTTATGTGTAAGAAAGGTGGTACGACGTTTTTTGCTCAAAAATTGGAAGTTTGACTTTCATAAATAAAGGAATAAAAACTAAGAATACAACATTAGAGAGAAATAATCTCTTTTTATGGAGGTACTAAAATTTTCCCATTCTGTAATAAAAGTAATTTCGATTCAGTGGTTAAAGATATTTGTTGTCCTTGGTAACCTTTTCTTTTTTCAACCGTTATACTGACAGAAAGAAGTTACTTACAAGTATTTTTCATTGATTCCCTTTCCAATCCTCGTGCTGTGTTCGTCAGAACTGAAATCCCTATCGTGGGGCAGCCGTATTTCATCTACGCTCACTATTTGTCTTGTCTTGGTGGCTACCCCACCTCGAGTCGTATGTTGCACCCGATGGATTTGGCTCGTCTTTGTCAACGTCACGTGGGTCATGTTATTGTAACCCGGACATCGACCGCCTCTGCCGGTGTACCCGCTGATTTCGCCTTGCGTCACGGGGCTTATCGTACGGCCATTTACACCGCTCTGCTTGCAGTCGTTCGTTCAGCAGGAGCCACGGAACAGGAGTTGCGATCCATACTGTCTTCCGACCGGCATGCAACGCGTCGACGGTTTCGCCTCCCGCTAGTGCAACCACACTATCTAGATGGATATTAGTTCAAACGTGTGTACTTCTCCTTCTGTCCTGCCTGATGAATCACTTCTGGTTGGTCTTTCATTCCAGATTTGCTGCAGAAAACATGTTTGATCTCATTGATACCTCCTCTCATTTCTATTTCAATCTTTTTATATGATTATAATTCATCGTTATAGACGAGTCAATGAGTATTATACAAAGACAAACCAGTTATACTTTGATATATTCAGATTACAAATGAGCTTGAATTTTCATTCTACTTGTGGTCTTATTTTGTGTTGTGTTGTGAGGGTTTCCGGCGACTAAGGCGCCTGCTGAGTTTATCGATAACGCAGCAGTTCGTAAATGTAACGTAATCAAATTAGCACTGAGCATCGCTCTAGGATATCATAGATATATTATAAAGCTTGACGTCTCAGTGACTCTTCTGCTGACCAATAGAGTGTGGCCATAGTGCGTGTGCTGGATTGTCGTCTAGTACTTGAGTCCACGTTTAATAGAGGGATCAACAAACATTGTGCACCCCAAGTTATGGGATAGCCTGATCTCCTTGACAATTAACCAAACAGCAACAGAAAAGTCATCGGAAAAACAAGTCCCAAGAAATGCGACGATTGTAAGCGACAAACTTTATTCAACTGGAAAGAACATCCAATGAGTCCTGGTTTATCGTCGAGTTTGGGAGGTCAGAGGAATATGGCCGGCAAGCTGGTTGGCTCAACAGAGACGCAACAGTCTCAAAAGCGAGATCAAACGGGGCATGGCGAATGAAATTTGCGACATGTGATTAATCCCCAGGAATGCGAGAGAGATCATCAGGCAATGAAACAGATGTAGCTGTTTATGGGTTAAACTACGCATGTATCCGGTGTGCATAATTTCAACTACAAAGTGCATATTTACCCACCGCCCCACATATTTGCACGCTTGAATATATCCTTAAGGCACATTTTAATTATGGTGCCCCCTAACATGAAACGCTTTTATGTCAGCTTTCAATTCCGATTCCTTTCACTGCTTAATGGTGTCGATTCTTTCCTAAACCGTCGACCAGTGGCTATCCGCAACTCATTCTGAGTGCAACAGTCTTCATGGTAGGATTCTAAAATAATTTTCATTAGGATTAACCAATGGGTTACGAGTCCTTCTTGCTCGAATAACGTGATAATGCACGATAGCAGTCCTCATTACGAGTATCTATTTTATCATGGTTTGGTTGGTTTGTAACGTTTCAAGTGGTGCAAAAGAATGGTAGTTGTAACCGAGGAAGGTTGCATACCAATTTCGAATATACTTGAGGAACATACTTTAAGAACATATCCATCTGTTTCATTTGCCTCTAAATGAATTAACCACATCTCTCGAGGTGAAGTGTGATGTGGTTGCATTGATTGAACAGCTAACTGTGCATGCATGGTTCGGTTAGGTATCGATCCAACTGACCACTGCAGAAAACGAAAATTCCTTCGGTCTGTCGCCACAACCACTGCCCCCGCAGTGAAAAAGAAAAAGCACACCTGAGGTTGTGGAGCGTGAGATTAAGTTCTTAATGAAGTCGATCGTTGAGTGGCTTGCCGTTCAAATTAGATGTACATATGAAGATTATCCACATTTTCACTAGCTTCGATTGGATAAGTACTGGGCCGTGAAGCAAAGACAACTTGCAATTCCCATTCTGTTCATACCAACGATACAACGTCAAAGTGGTCGCGGTCTTGCTACTGTCGAACTTTTTCGTAATCTTGGAACAGCTCGTAATAAAAACCGTCTAATAACCATAGAGAAATAGTTTGCCATTTGATGCAGTTGTCTTTTAGATTTCAGAATGGCTTCAGTGGTCATGTCCCGGATCAGGTAGTCGTTCAATGGAAATAAAACAATCTTCTGCTAATTTTGCATGATAAAGTTGCTTACTTTTGTTTCTGATTCACTTATTATTAACTTAGAAAAGTAATCTTGCTCTTCGCTTGACCAATTATCGGTCGTGCAGTTTGAGGGGTTGAGTTCTTTTCCGATGTGCATGCACAAGTTGCCAGGACAACCTGGACTGAAATTCGGCCACATGGCTAGACCAGAGTGCATCCAAGGCCTTAGATGCACAATCAGGTGAGTGTGCGACGGTCGGTATTTCGGTGGAGTCACGGATACAAGTTTACCAAGTTTAGCGGTATTACACTGTACCTAATGTCTCAAGTGTTGCCATCTCTTACATACATATACAACATAGGTACATACCCAATGGACAGCTTCCGCCCACATAAATAAAGACCACCATATATATATATATATATATATATATATGTATCATCGACATTCATTTTCAATTATATGTAAATAATGCATTAGTTGAACCATTGACGCAATCTTCATTCAGTCATTCACAGTCCAAGCCGACGAAAGGATACTACTGAAAGTGCATTTGCCAGATAAGTCATGTAGTACTTTAACCCACCTGAAGTATACCGTGTCTGTTCGAATTCGATAACGAATCGTGGTTCCCGAGTGCGAGCAAATGCCGTTTTCGGAGTTTTGTAAAAAATGGTAACTTTACCACGTAATATTCGGGATGATTTATTGCACCAGTTCGCATTAGGAATTTCGCATTCCTAGGAAGTTGATAAATTAGGCGTTTCAACTGTCCTACTTGCTTGGCATTAGCATATCTAGTTCAGTTCCATCTCACGCATGTGACCCCATTTTTATTGGACGGATAAAATTTATCGTCCACAAAATACTGACAGAGTAGTAGGGCGACGACTATGTGTTCCAACAGAACGCTACTTCCGTTGGCTTTGTAATTCTTGTGGATGGAATGCCTGGAAGACATTGTGGTCAATCCAGTCAAAGACTTGGGCCACTGAACCGAGAGTATTTTTATTAGACGCTCTTTTGGGATGGACAACAGGCCGGTTAAACCATATAGTCACGAGGAATCGCTGTTCACTCATGTGCAACCTGAGCAGAAGAACTGAAAGATAATTTACGTCATGTGAGTTTCGATAGATCCTGTGGTCCCTGCTACATTTTCACCTCCAAATTTTAAATAAACTAAGAGGGTCGATGGAGCTTTGTCCTAAATTAAATCATGAACCCGAATTGGCAAAACCAATCAACTGCAGAAACGTTCACACGTACCATTTCTAACGATCAGGGCAATTGTGGAAAAGTTATCGTGATCGATATTGCAGCCACACGTCAAGACCAGCAAAGGTCCGTGCTGCTCATGAGTTGATTGGATCCCAGTTGGTTACAAATAAGTCAAGCGACAGGGTTTTTCATAAATGCAATTGATCTGTTAGTAAGAAACTAGCGCAATCGCAATACACACGGTAAGAAACTCTAAGAACCACACAGTCGTAGTTTCAGTACAAAAGTAAAAACAAGTATGAGGCATTTATTTCCTTATTATTTACCGAATATACAAATGCACAATTTATTTACAGGAAGATGACAGCGACCATTCAAAGTCTATTCTAGGGAAATATAAGAAGAGAGGGGATAGATGGCGGAATTTCAACCCAGAACCTCCTGGTCACTCATCAGATGACCCCAAATAATTTATCAACGCCATCCAATAGAGATGGGCCGGCGATCTTTCCAATGAGAAATCCTACACTCCTGACGGAGCACAATGAGGAAACGTTGCTATTTTCAACCTTCTAGGTTGTTGGGGTGAAACATCTTTAAAGAAAAGGTGAGGACGGAGCGTTTCTCTTTGCTCAGTCCCCGCAGCCAGGTCAACCGCACGGTTTTAATTATTTTGTCATGTTTTCCGAACGGCGAGAAATAGCCGAAATTGCCTCATGAAACAATCGTCCAATGTTTTTTCCTTCGATCCACAGAGATTAGTAGTAATTATGGCTACTGCTTAAAACTGAGGGTTACTATAATAGGACATGTTTCATGTTAAGTCAAGTGAGAAAGAGTTCTCGCTACCCGAAAAAGTTTACTTTCCTGTTTTTATTCCATTCTTTATATTGCAATGCACACGGCAAATCTTTGAAAGTACATCTAAATTCGGAAAATGACCCATTCTAAGTATTGATTTATTCTTCGAGATTTGATTGCAGTTTTTGCCGGAACTTGTCGGTCTGTGCAATAAACCTCTTGAATTCGATGCAGCTCGAAAGTATTTCAGTATTATTGTATGAACTTAAAAGCTAAATAATTCCGGTAAGTGCAGAGAGGGAGTAAGGAAAACTATTCATTGATCATTTATTCAGTCAATGTTACAAATGTCTACATCGTTTGTGATGAAATGCCTGCTCTCGAATTACCCAGCGTTGTAAGCAAGCGAAAATGAATTTAGTTCACAAGCAGGGATTTTGATTGCTTCAATAAATTTAGAACGGACTTCCCCTTTCCTCTCTCTTGCGTTTATGCTTGAGACCCACGTTTATGTGGCCTATATGCTTTAGCCATTGACTGATCGGCATACACAAACCACGAGTCTCACAAATCAGATTTGTTCGGCTGCCGCCCATGAACTTTCACCATTAAGACATTAGTCCCTAGTTTTATGACAAATTGCTTTGCTTTGCGTTTTCCAAAATATATTTTTGAGGTTGCACAAGGAACTTGAAGTATTTAAAAGTGAATAATCTCGCAGTTTTAAAATGCTCTGTGACTAGAGTTTTGATTGATCTTATGGTTTTTAATATTTCTGTAAATGCGTAAAGGTTGTGTTTGATTATTTGTGCTAAAATCTGTTGTCTTACGTAAACAGGATTTACTTTATCATCACAAGCGAACATAACGTTATGAATGGGAGGCCATTCAGCGATGCACATTGTTGGGAAGGTTCACATACGGTTGAATTGTAACGTCACAGTACCAATCTCGCATTTATCGTACTATCAGTCGGTGGAAATTGCAATTGCACGCACTTAAGAGTCAAGAAGAACATTACCATCCAGAATAAGTTAAACAAGCGGCTCATATGTAGCTTTTCTTCCGTGTATTGTTTTTAACACTGAAGACAATCTGCCGGAGAGATGGTTTTTATGGTAAACTGGTTGTG